TTCCACACCTACCTGTCACGTCCTCTCTTTCAGGCTTTGTTAATAGTTTTCTGTTACGTTTAATTATATATATATATTATCTATAACCAATAGAAAGTCAAGGTTTTCATTTATCAAATGACGTATTGTATAATGTTGTGTTCTGAACAGATAAGCATCAATTTCATTCAGAGTTACAAGCTTCATTCCCATGGGGAAGGTAAAGATTAGATTGGATGAATTTGTAACAGCTCTTGTCATATAGTTAGAAAGCCAGACAAATTGTGATTGCAATGGGACATTGTCTGCTTTTTGCATGTTATTAGTCTGTGTTCTTTGGTGCATTATTTAATGCACTACTACCATTAGTATAAAATATGTAGGCTTAAGCATAATCGACAATTTACAGCAAGAAAAAATAAGATTGAGTATGTAATTTATTTTTTGTTTTTCATGTTTATTCTTTATTTATTATTCTAAAAGTAACTAAAATGTAAAAATAAAGATCTTTTTTATGTTAGTTAAGATTAGATTAGGTAAAATAAATAATATTATAATAAAAATGTTGCATTGACTGAACTCATATAGAAAGGGTTAGACAACAATAAAAAAAATCATATTCAGCCTGTGGAATTTGTTTTATTTCATCCATTGTAATTAATGGAAACTTAAATAACGCCTAAGGTTACAAATATGATATCTTGCTAATTTAACAATTAAATCCTTGAAATATTTGTTTCATTATGAAAAATATGGAGAAATGCATGTGATAACAAAAACCTTAATATTTGATAGCCTGTATGTTGATAAAAAAACAAGCTATTAAACACATGATCAATAGTGATGTACAGTTTTATGCTTGCTGTATCACATACTAAGGAAAAGTACCTGGTTTTGCTTTGGTTACTAGGTTGATATATTCTAGATGTGTCACGTCAAGCTTCATTTCTCGAAATAAGAGGAATCATAAAGCCAAAATGTATTCATCCAGATATAATAGTTTGATTACTGTCTGCCCATTATGATTTAAGTGATGGGGATGCAAGGGGCCTGTGAACCCTTGTAAGTGTTGTGAATGTTGGTATGATTTAAAGAAATTAATAAATAAGCCTAAATTGTGACATAGTGTGAGATATCCTAGCCTAGAGCCAAGTATATAAATTTTCATCCAATTTTAAACTTAAGTCATTTCTGAATTAAGGTATTTTCTTTTATATCACCAACATTTTTAATAAAGAACAAACCTCTTTAATCAACAGAAACAGTAAAATAAGAAATCAACAAATATTTTTCTTGTTTTGATGTTTATACATTTCATTTTATACTTTCATGCATAGACTAACAACAATATTAGGTTATACTTTTGTTGCTAAGCAACATGACATAAAATCCATTGTTGGAACTCATTGTTACCAAAACCTACTGGTTTTTTATCTGCTGGTTTTTTGCTAGCTTGCCTCATTAAAAAGATGCACATGCACAAGATAAGTAATAATACCCAGGTGCACACCCTCAGGGTCCACTTAATATAGGTGCAAAATTTAAGGTTTCTAGGCTCTTTACTCTTGGAGTTATGGCAGTCACACACAGTTACACTCTTATTATTATAGATGGGTATGCATTTAACATGATCTCAATATAAGTTATGAAGTGGTTCCAGCCCCATACTATGGCAACAGTTGCTAAGAGCTATAGTTGATTTCTCATGTGTCACATGTGATCTTGCCATCTTTCAGTTTCTTGTTTAGATGCTATAGTACTCAAAACATATGCATATATATATAGGTATGTGTTTTTTCACACTTTATCTGTAGTACTTCAAAAGCAGAGGTGCTAGGAGTAACCTAACTCCGTTGTTGCTTTTGATCTTAAGGTTTTTATTAATCATGTCTATTCTTTAATTATATGTGAAATTTTTGTTTTTTTGGTCAGTATATGATACATATAGTCAACTTGTTTACACGATATAATTAAATTTATCAACACTGGCTACTTTAATTATCCATGACATTTGTTTTTTATTAGGACAATTAATTTTTGGATGAACATTCATTAGCTGTTAGTGTATGGGTTTGGCTATTTTGCATGTCACAACCTTTTAGAATGTTACATTCAAAAGGTCGACAATCAACTTTAGTATAAATGTGTACTATTAAACTTGGCATGAAAAGGTACTTTATAAATCAGTGTTTTTATATTATCTAAATTTTGAGTCTTTAATTTCAAAAAAGAAATATGTAAAAAATTCTCAATGTTGATTTTTCTGGGACCCTATTTCTCAATTTCAGAAATTAACTTTAGTAATACATTGCTACAGTTTTCAACCAATTAGAAACACAAAGTTAACATAATTACAATCAAAAATCTAAAATTTAAACCTCCTACTTATTTGACTTGCTGAAACATCTATAACTTTATTAAAATCCACCAGAAAAGCCCCTCCTCTTTTTCTGACTTTCAAAATTGTTTGTTAACCAACCTTACAGGAATGATGGACATTTTTATAACCAATAGAAAGAGTAAGTTCTCTTTTATATAAATTTTATTTAGTTTTGACAACAAAAGGTGGTAGTCGAGAGAAAATACTTGGTTTGTATCGAGTAGACTTGTAACTCTGAACACTAACAGAAAATCAGATATAGTCGTTTTTAGAAATTCTAATCTAGTGACTTCTGTATTTTTGTTCTAAAATGCATATTTGAAAGGTTCATGAATTATTTTACAGAGATCCAAAGCTGTGAGAGTGAATGATGCTTAGAGAGAAGGCACAAGTGTAAAAGTCCTGTGGTATGTAACTAGCTCTATGGGTAACAGCTAATGGGCTCTTGATGTGATTTATTGCTTTTACCAAGGACAACCTGCCCCTGTGGTCTAAAGAACAAGCAATGAAACTTTAAAATTAAAAGAAAACAGAAGTGAGAAGGTTAACCTTTAAATTGTGATGATAAGTAATTTGAAAACCTGAGATAAATTATGCATTCAAAGAAGACGAAAACAACAAATATTTGATATCATATTTTCAACTTTACATTTCACTGTACATTTATGATTTTGTTATAATTAATGTTGGGGTAGTAGATAAAACTCAAAGTTTTTACCGAAAAAAAAGTTGATATTGTTGGTTATTCAAATGAAGTATGAAAACCAATATATATATATATAGCTTCAAGGCTAGTTAGATATGCTGAGCTTGTATACAGAGGATTAATCAGGACAGAATCTAGTCTGCTTTTACTTTGGAAAGTTCAATGTCACAGAATATCATCATGAAGACTTTTAACTAATTAAAACCTATATATTGATAGTTTTACATAACACAAATGAATGATAATTCTAGACTTCAGTGAATGTATTTATTTATCCACTAATATTAGTTACATTATTTATGTAATTCCTCGTAGTGACCCCATGCTGGTGTTTTAGGGTTAAATACTGTTATGATGGTAATGCAAAGTAGTTCTCTATGTTTAAGGTTATATGGAATTTCATTCTTGATTCTGAATGAGTTTTAATAAAATATCCCAGTGATGCATATAAAGTTTTTGTTCTTTCTTAGGTGGCATGGATCCTAATGACCTCTTTGAAGTGTTCTTGAGAAATCAGGTTTTTAGACGTCGCAACCAGTTTTTCTTCTCGGATGGTTTCCAGCCTGTGTGAGATTTTGGATGGTTTGGAAATCAATGTATTTAATAGAGTTATATATAAAGAGGATAGTTGGCACTTTCTCTTTACAACAAAAAAATATAAACACAAGTTCTTCATTCTTAAATCCTTTTAATGGTGAACAGGGGACACTTGTTATTAACTAAGAAGACAACTTCACCCAACAAAAAATATTCTGATCTCTCCATTCCCATTGGATGAAGTTGTGTTTTAGGACAGTGTCTGGTTCTGTTAAACTGATTTGGCAGTGAGAAGCTCAAACAAAGAGGATTTCAGAATGAGGTAATCTGGTGTTTATTTTAATATTCAGCAAGAAGATAAGAAAGTTGTTCGTTTAGCAAGGAACGATGGAGTTCGCTGATAATGTTTAGACTGTTTTTAGGTAACAATTTGCATATTCATGAGATGGTACTTGTTTTGCTCAAAGTCTTGGACAAAAAAAATTACCACTTTTCTTACGTTAGTCTTTTGATAGACAGGTTTTTAGAGAGCCACACATTTCTGAAAATTTTGAGCTACACAAGTCTAGCATGTAAATATAATAAATATTATAGAAAGCTTTAAATGTTACATAAATATATACACACATGTATACTTGTAGGTTGTCAACAGTAGATCAGTCGAGTTTCACTGTCAGCTGTACGATAACAATAAAATGTACAAAAAGCTTTAAACTGTTACATATAATAATTAACCATTCAAATTTCACTTTCTGTGAATAGTACGTTTCATACAACAATTTGTTTTATTTTTTCTTTCAACTTTTACAATTACTTGCTTAATAAAGTACTGGTTTTGTAGCTTTCACTACTCTTCAGCTCTTCTTTTTTTTTGCACCTTAAAAATAATACAATTTTATTTACATATAAAACATTTTATTTACAAAATACTTTAAAAAATACATATTGTGATAAAAGTTTAGATAAACGACCTTTACATTCAAGATGTAAATATACGTTTTTTTTTATTACTACCAATGTTTCGCTTTTATTCACATTTCAATGTTTTTGTTAGTTTAATCAATCTAACTAATATATATTATGGTGCCTTAATAGAGCTGTGATAATTTCTATGTTACTCAAACTTTAAGAACCATTTGTGTTTCAGTCATTTACAAATATGTTTCTTTTAAATGGACTTGAAAAATAAGATTTTATGTGCATAAATGCTATTTTCCCAATTGTTTTGTTGCTTGTGTACTCTCATTGTCTTAACAACCTAAGTGGCAGAGTCAAGTAACCATTGGTTGTTTAATCTGTAGCAAGTTAAGAATTGAAAACATTTGATTAATACCTAAATAGTGATGTTGAAAATTTCATGTTTTATTTGAGTGACTTATGTTTTTGTTTTTTCTGTAAATAATTAGAACAGTGCAAGTTTAAAACAGTTTGATGATGAAAGGTTTTGTGTTTTTTCGGAGTGTGTGTGCTTCCCCCCCCCCCCCCCCGTATTAAGCAGCACAATATGACGACGGGGGGAGGGGGGTCATGTTTTCTTCAAGTATTTTGTTTTTTTCCACTGTCAAGGAGAACAGTGATTTTAAACCAGTTTGATGATGGCAATTTTTTTTATCCAAGTTTGTTTTTAACTTTTTGAAGAGAACAGTATAGTTTCAAACCGGTTTGATGATGATGAGAGATTTCTTGTTTTATCTGAAGAACAATTGTTTTTATTTCACATAAAGGATAAAGTACGATTAGAAAAACCATTTGGTTAAGGAAGGATAATTTGTTGACTTTTTTTAATAGAAACCACATTATCAATAAATGAAAATATTTTGTTACAGGATTTTTTTCTTTTCTTGTTCGATTGTTAAAAAAGTATATGGAGAATAGATAACATTTAAAAACTTCATATACAAGTGTATCAGTGAAGACAAAAATGGAGATTGATATGTTTGAAATGTTTCGAACTACATTTATTCCATCATCATCAAAATCTGACCAAAAATAAGTTTAGAAGGCCAGTGTAGTTAATGTATTACAACTGTTTATTTTTTTTTTTTACTTTCTAGACTTAATGTTTAGATTTTGACTTATCCTCGTTTTCAGACTTCACTTATGATGGAATAATTGTATATTGTATTCCTTTATATTGTTGGCAGTGAGTTGAAATAATTTGTCATCAGTGTGATATGCCTCTTATTCTAGTAATGACAGCAGTTAAGATTTATCATAGAGACTGTCTTCACTGTGGCTAAGAGTAGGCTTTAGGTTGTTTTACTAAAGATTTTATTTTGGCAGGAAACAGCCTGTTACAAGTTGGAAATGATTTGAAATAATTTGTCGTCAGTGTGATACGCATCTTACTCTAGCAATGACAGCAGGTAAGATTTATCATAGAGACTGTCTTCACTATGGCTAAGAGTACGATTTATCATGTTTTACTGAAGAGTTTATTTTGGCAGGAAACAGCCTGTTACAAGTTGGAAATGATTTGAAATAATTTGTCATCAGTGTGATATGCATCTTACTCTAGCAACAACAGCAGTTACAATTTATCATAAAGACTCTTCGCTATGGCTAAGAGTAGGCTTTATGATGTTTTACTAAAGATTTTATTTTGGCAGGCATTTGAGTAAATGAAGATTAAAATTCCAAAAAGCTAAGGAAATACTGCTTCACATACAGTATAACAACATTGCATCTTGGATTAAGGAATATACCAATGGTCTAATGAAAGCTACTTAAAGAGTGCAAGTGGTTTAGCTGTACAAATTCTGATTATATTTGTATACTAAAATGTGTAGATAACTATTGTGTCAAGTAAAGGAACAATGTTTATATAAATAGCTGTGTATACTTCACTTGAAGTTAAATAAAGATTGGAAGAAAACTAGTTGATCGTTTGATGGCCCAAAGTTGTTTGATTCATGAAAAATTCATAACATTTTTTAAAGGGACAAAAGGGAGCTTATTAAGCCATTATGGATATCCCTTCCAGCTCCCAACTGTAACCACTCCTTACTGCTCATGTGTTCATTCAATTTTTTCTTGAACTCGATTAAATTTTCTGCCTCCACCACTCTTGAAGGCAGCTCATTCCAAAATCTAACAACCCTGTTTGAAAAGTAATATTGTCTAAACTGTAGGCAACTTCTACGCTGCCAAAATTTGAACTTATGACCCCTTATCCTATTCTTTTTACTGCTAAACACAAAAAAAGTTTGATGGATCTACATTATCAATACCCCTAATAATTTTAAACACCTCAATCAAAACTCCTCTGACCCTTCTCTCCAGAAAAAAAAGTTTAGAGATTTCAGTTACCCCCTTCATAGGACAATCCCACCATCCCAGGTATCATCCTAGTGGTTCTTCTCTGAACCTTCTCCAACAATTCAATGTCCTTCTTGAGGAAGGGAGCTCAAAACTGTACACAATACTCTAAATGAGGCCTATTTGAATAGATGCCACCCAAAATCCTATTAGCCCTATTGCTAGCTACAACAACTGTTTAGATGACTTAATTGATTTTTTGGTCAAAACACCAATATCTTTTTCTTCAGCCACAGTATTTAATGTATTCCTATTTAAATTGTAGCAATAATTTGAATTATGTAAACATACATGCATCACCTTACATTTTGGATAGTTAGAACATCATCTGTCATGTATTGGTCCAATGCATCATATGACCTAAATCTCACTGTAAGTCTGCAGCATCTTTGCTACAGTTAGCCACCCCAAAAAATCTTAATGTCATCAGCAAACTTAAATATTTTGTTAGTAATTCCAGAGTCAATATCTTTAATATAAGTCACAAACAGTAAAACCCTGAGGCTCACAGCTTGTAACTGTGATCGAGTCAGATCTAACTCCATTTATTTCTACTCTTCAGCCAATTTTCTATCTAATTTGATAACATTTCCCCTACAACCACAGATTTAATTTTTGTAACAAGTCTTTTGTGAGGCATCTTATCAAAG